TTTTTTTTTTTTTTTTTTTTTGCGTTACATGCTCTTTCCTATAAATTCTCTCACAAGTACCAGATTTTCCACAAGGAGTTCCTACACTCCCACCATCGGATAAATTGAAATGCCCATCGACTCTCAAAACCCTCCCATGATTCTGATTGTATTGGATCGATATGACAATCCTAGAGGGGTGAATAGGGTTTCAATCATGTAATTATTAAATTTTTTTTTTTTTAATAACAATAAAGCTTATACCATGCAATAAAACATAACAATAATTTAGAATTTAAATAGGAAAAGGGTTAGAAAATATAACACCTTAGTTTTATAGTGGTTCGGTCAAACTCGACCTACTCCACTCCCCAAGCGCCTCTACGGAATTTGAATAAAATTTTCTGACTCTTTATCAGAGCCCAACTGCTACACCGCTCTTTTTACGAGTGCAAGAGCAAACTCAAACCTTTCCACGGCTCAGGATCAAACCGGTACACCACTCTTTTTACGAGTTCAAGAGCAAACTCAATCCTTTCCATGGCTCAGAATCAAACTGGTACACTGCTCTTTTTACGAGTTCAAGAGCAAACTCAATCCTTTCAACGACTCAAGATCAAATCGGTACAACTGTCTGAAATTTTATAGAAACACACCACACCACAACTCTCTGAAGTAGTAGATTTACAATTTTCTCACACTACAATAGACATCTCTCTCAGACTAAATGAACAAGAAATAAAATTGGAAACTTGTAGAGAGCAACAATGGAGGCTTTTTAAAAAAAGTTTAAATTGAGGAAACTATGGAGCTTGAGTTTCTGAAATGTTCTGTGTGTTGTTCTAAGAAATATGAAGAAGTGATGAGTTTAAATAGTAATCAAATTGCAAAAATAGGAATTGATACAGACCACTAAAACGCGACCAAAATAATATTGATTTATTTTTAAATTTATCATAAAAAAAAATTATAGACCACATGTTTCATTTATATATATATATATATAACCTATTTAAATGTAATAATATAATAAAAAAATGTTAATGAAAACGATGTGAGTAACCATTTAAAAGTAATGGAATAGTTTTATAAATCTAACTGATATCATTATAATTTTATAATTCAAATAATTTTTTTGGAAACTTTTGTAAATGTAATTGAAATGATTTTATAATTCAAATATGTAAATGAAATCATTATAATTTCTTTCCCAGGAAAAGTAACGGAAAACTTTTATAAATGTAATTGAAATGATTTTATAATTCAAATACTCCTCTTTTAATTCAAAAGTAGTGGAAAACTGTTATATATGTAATTGAAAACTTCACCATTTGTTGCTCTATCAAAGTTCTAAATGTCATACTTCGATTGGTCTATGATGTCAATTTTGTTGCTGGTCCAGGATGTCAATTTTGTCACCACATCATCAATTTTATCACCACATCATCACGTCAGTATCTTGTTTTGAATTTGATTGGTCCATGATGTCAATTTTGTCGCCACATCATCACGTCAGGTATCTTATTTTGACTGAAACTTCTTCGTTTTATCTCTAATTTGAGTGAATCAAAAAAGACTTTGAAATCGTTATTCCCAACCTTACACTGTGGACAAAATACTGAGAATTGTTAATAATTGAAGGTAAGTTTGTTATCATAAAAAAAATTAATTAATTAATTAAAATTAATTAATTGGAGATTAAGGCCAAAAAGCCAACAAAACTATCACCAACAAATGCAACTGACGAGGAACTCGTCCAACATTTCCAAATCTGTCATTCATTGTAGGAACTAGACCACCAAAAACCAAAAAGCGTAATAAAGAACAACAGACCTAGAAAACTAACACTGGCAACCTTCTTAGTTCTTCCCACAGCCTTCTTACTCTCATTCTTTTTACTCCTAGCTGTTGAAGTAGGTTGTTGGGGCTTTAATCTAGGAATATGAACTAGAGGGACCTGAGACCCTTGAGGTTTAACAACATAAGGAGCACATGGCACCATGGATATGACATTGGAGGCATTAAGAGATGTGGGTACATACCAGGAGGAGGAAGCTGACACATACCACAACCACTCAGCTGCTGTCTCAGAGCTGCTCAGCCAACATATACGATACCTTATTATTCAATCCAGCAATGGTTGAATGCATGATTCTCACTTTGTCCTCCAACTCCTCCACATATTGTTTTTTCCTTTTCCTGGATAGCTGCGCACTCTCTCGATTCCTAATCAACCTCACCTTCCTCTTCTCTTCGTCCTCATTTACAGCACAGGAATTCAATTGGGGATTGGTAGTTTCTGCCGGAACAAATGACCTTTGATATTTGGAAGATCTCAAATCCGCGTTACCTTCATTCTGTTCTTTCTTCCTCTTTGTCATACAAAATTTCCCTATTTCTTCTGATTTAATCTTCTGTTCGACAATAACATCATAATAATCTGCATTAGAAGATAGGCAATTCATTCCCTCAGAGACGCCAGAATCAAAATTTTCAGAACCCGAGCCTTGAGACGATGTTGGCTCGCCTGAGAATTCATGATCACTACCATCGCTACCATGCTCTGGGGAAGGACAATTTACAATCTTCACTCTTTGAGTTTCATCCACCAGAATGAGTCGAAAAACACTCGCTATCTGCAATTCTTAATTCAAAAGATTGATAGTTTAGAAACTTACCTTCATCGGGGGACTCCTTGCATAAAACCACAGAGCTCCTGGATCCTGGAGAGCATGCAGGGTTGCAAACACAAACAGTAGCGCCCCCAACAGCTTCTTGGTCAGCCATGATAATGAATTCTTCAAGCTTTGCAGACATATTTGATAGTTTCTTTGCTTCTTCTGCTTCCTGTTGGGCTTGCTTTTTGTGTGATTCAGATGCACTCAGTTGATCACTCGTTTTCTTCAGTTCCTCCTAGAGTTGAGAAAGTCATGATTCCAATTCAGCCGCTTTGTTGGGCCCTTTACTGTTCTTTTGACAATGTGGACGAAGATCTGATAGAACAGTTTCGTTTCCAATTGTATGATAAGAACAACCAGAATCGACAATCCATTCTTCATTGTAGTCTATAAAGACATGAGCATTTGCAGAGACATCATCTTGATGTACGGCTGAAGTCACATTTGTTGGCTAGTCAAGAACCTCAATAGCTAAGTAGTGTTCCCAAATTGAATCCGAAGAACTTTTACTTTCATGTACAGCATTAGCTTCTGATTCCTACATTTTAACTCGGCAATTTGGCTTAATATGGCCTGGCTTTCCACAACGATGACACACCACTTTCACCCGACAATCTCGTTTAAAATGGCCAGGTTTTCCACACTTGTAACAAGCTTTAAATGGCTTCTTTGACGACTCCTCAGTTCTGAATTGATTCTCATTGCTTGATGAAACCTTTGAATGAAAATTCTGTCTCCTTTGATCTTTGACAGACAACACATTTTCTAAATTTTGGGAAAGCTTGTTGTTGCTAGTCATTTGCTTAATCAAAACTTCGTGATTCGAAAGCAAATTCTCCAATTCAATAACTGTAAGCTGATTTGCCTACCCTTATATCGAGGAAACAAAGGGCATAAAGTCTTTTCGTAATCCAAGAATAAGATAACGCCGTAATCGAGCATCACTCACTGGCTCCTCAACATCTAATTCTGAAATTTCAGAACACAGATTTTTCACTTTCAAGAAATATTCTTCAACAGAAAAATTACCTTGAGTTACCACAACTAATTCATTCTCTAGAAATTGTAATCGAACTGTATTTTCTTAGTGAACAGCTTTTGAAGTGTTTCTCACACTTGCTTTGGTGACTTTAAATCACGAACATGATCAATATATTCCTTGCTAATCAAAGTTCGCAAGGTAAATAAAGTTTTTCCACATTTGATCTTCCATTTTCGGCGTAATTCAGCATTCTTTGGAGTATCGGATGGAATTTCTGTGTCATCACTCTCAATTAAATCCCAATAATCTTGCCCTTGTAATAAGTTTCTATACATAACTTCCAATAATTATATTTATTGTCAACAAACTTTTCTATAGCTATACCCATAGAAGCACTTCCACCATTCATCTCAAGTAATAATATCAAACCCTGGTTATCAACTTGCTTTGATACCAACTGACACAATATCTACCACCCAAAAGTGTGAATAGATCTGAAAATATTATTAATCAAAGAAAGTTAAGAATGAGAAATAGAATTAGGATCGAAGGTTCCATCTTCATTGATATTCACAACGTTTTAAATATGATACAAACTACCAACTAATACCTACAAATCAGAAAATATAAACTACTAAATCTTGAGAATAAAATATACTACTAATCAAATCATAGAAAAAATATTAACAGATTACGAATATATAAGATATATTTCTTAACTAATATATTCTTCAAATATTAAATTTCTTGACTAATTCAAACTAACAATAAGTACGAATATCTAAGATATATTTCATAATTAATATATTATTCAAATATTAAATATTCAGACTAATTTAAACTAGCAATAAGGCACTAAATTCTGACGTTGTCAACCTTTCCGAGGCCTTTGGAACACTGGTTCACGCACGAAAGAAGTAACAGTCCAATCTCGGTTCGGTTCGTAGCCTTGTGGTTTGGTTCAAATCCGTTAAAAGAAAAAAAAAACCCAACTGCATTAGCCTAACAGCCCATTCAGCAGCTCAAGCCCAGCCCACAACCTCCAAGCCCAATTTAAAATCTATTTAACAACCAACTCATTTAAGCTCCATCCAACTAGCCCACCAAGCCCAAAGCCCAGCCCAATCCATTTCAGCTTAATAGATTTTGTACGATTTTATAATGGTTGTGATTCAAATATGAGTCCATTCCTATAAGCATTTCTTCAAGAAAAGTTTTAACCGTTACTTAATGTTTAAGCATTTTTGGGATCTCATTTAAACATGCCTCCTAACTCTTAAGTTGAATCAAGCTCTCAAGTGCCATGAGTTTAGTTTTTCTCCTTGCATGACATGATTCCATGTCGGTTCTTGCTAAGCAATGTGGGCTAAGAGGAGTATTTTCTGCAATGACTACGACCAATTCATCTCGACACCTCTTCTGTCATATAAACAGACAACAGTAGAACAATAGATGGAAATTAGGGCCAACTTGGGCCAATAAAATGAGATAATAACAATTACGTTATGAAACTAGTTCGTTAAGAACTTAGTTGATCTCGTTAGATACAAACTGTCGAGCTCAAACAAAAAAGATAGGACTTAGTATAGTCACAACCCGATTCCCACGGTTAACATGTTTCATACTATCAACCTACTCAAATCAAAATTCAACTAGTAACTTCTCTTTCGCATATTGGCTGACTAACTTTCATTGTTGCAACCTTTACATTTACTACTGAAATCCCAAGTCTCCAACTGGACCCTCTTGGCCACATGCAACCTTCTCTTTTTAGAGAATCTCACTCGTGTTGTAGCTCGACAATTTATTTTTATCCTTCTAGTTTCAAGATATGTATACGTGTATATATATATATAATTTGTTAAAATAAAAGGTGGGTTGGGGGTGGAAACGAGAACAGGGAAATTTATCCATAGCACCGATCACATTTAACTAATGTGAAAAAAATCTCTCTTTTTCTCCCTTCTCTCCCATTCTCCATTTAAACTAGAATCTCTGCTCTATTCCGGTTTGGTCTCTTCGGAGTTGAATAAAAATCTCCCATAGAGAACCTACAATACTATTAGGTTAGTGATGCGTGTAAACTAACAAAATATTTTTATATTCACTCCTACTATTCTTTACTTTTCAAATAGTACATGAGTTTCCACGTGAGATTGTGGATAGAATTTGACCTAAACCTAATGGATCTTCCATTTTTCTTATAACACGACGTTATTGAATTTTCAATTGTTTTATTGAATAAATTCGTAATTTTAAAAAAATATTGGAAGAGCGGTCAAAAACAAATTATTAAATACAAAATGCAATCAATATCAGATGAATTTGAGCTTTTAACATCTAATTTATTAATATTGGAAGAATGAGTGACCAAGGGAACTCATATTTTCTTGGAAGACAATTAAGAAGGTGAAAAAGAGTTGGATGGCTTGTAAGACCAAGAACACCATCAACCGCCTATAACACCCTTCTTCTTTTCCTTTTTCGGACCTTTTTGGATCTGGAAAGGAGAAACCAGTCTTAATCTCAAATCTTCCGCCAATTCGCCTATATAATAAAAGTTCTGTCAATGGATGAGTCTGATCTTGGTGATCGAGAGAAAAATTTTAGCTGATTTGGTGTAAATTATATTCTTCCAAACCAAGTAATTGTTAGGGTTCTTTGTTTCTGATAGTATTGCTTATTATGGGGGACGTGAAGGACAAGTTCAAGGGTTTCATGAAAAGGTTCAATAATCCCTTGTCTTCTTCTTCCTCTGCTAGTTTCAAGGGCCAGGGTAGAGTTTTAGGGTCGTCTTCTTCGGGGTCAACTACTTCCTTGCCTACCCGCCCATCGCAAAATCCCATTTCAAAGCCGAAGCCGGTTAATCCATCTTCGGATTCCCCGCTAAATTCTAAGCCCCCGGTTGCAAATTCAATTGCCAGTGCCCAAAACAGGTCAGAGCAGTCGAATAAATCGAACCCAGATCGTAATCCGGCCGACGGATTTGATCCGTTTGACTCGTTTATAACATCTGGGAAAAGATCTGGAAATGGGTATTCCTTAAATGTGTTTGAATGTCCGATTTGTGGCCAAAATTACGGGTCTGAAGAAGAGGTTTCGGTGCACGTAGATAGCTGTGTCATCGACAGTGCATCCAAAGGACCAGCAGATCTGTCCACGAACGATGCAGAATCTCTGAGTGAACTTGAGTCTTGCGTTGGCACTTTCTTATCAGGGAATCCGTCACAAAGTTCATTGGATATCGTTCTGAAGCTTTTGAGGAACATAGTTCGGGAACCAGACAATTCAAAGTTTAGGAAGATTCGTCTGAGTAATCCCAAAATTAAGGAGGCAATTGGTGAGGCTGTGGGAGGAGTGGACTTGTTGGAGTTTGTGGGTTTTAAATTGCGAGAGGAAGATGGTGAAATGTGGGCAACCATGGAGGTTCCAACAGCGGAAGAAATTAACATATTAGGTAAGGTAGTGGATTCAATTGACCGCCCAAAGCTTGATGAACAACAACAGAAACCCAGCACTGCTACTATGGCTACAACTCAGGCTGATGAACTGGTCGAACCAAAGAAAGTAGACAGACAGGTAAGGTTAACAGAGAAATCTGAACTCCTGATGCAAGAAAATATGTGTTTGTTCCCTTGGTTTGTCTCTGTTTTGAATATAAAGATTTCTAATGAACGCAATTGAGATGTTACTGAAATTGTGGTTCTGATATGAATGTTGCTAAAGGACCATAAATAGCTTTTCCTAGGATTTTTTTTTTCTCCCCTTTACTAGAATGTAGCAAGAAAAAAAAAAAAAAAAAGCTCTAACACTTAGCTACCATGAACTGATGTGCCAAGCAAGAGCCCTCTATGAATGATTAAGTGTTTTTTTATGGGTAGATAAGAGAATTCTACTCGGCGATAGTTATGTTCAATTCTCTTAATGACTTGGCTTAAGTTTTGTTCTGCCTCCCATCACCCCCTTAGTAGCTTTTCCAAGCCAGTGCATATTTAGCCCCGTTGTCAGACGTCGATGATCGATCTGTAAGAAACTGAAAGCCTAGAAACCATGTTGGAGGCAACCAGAAGAAACCAAAAGAAGTTTCTCTGGAATAGTCTAGGTGCTTAATTGGATAGGGTACAAAATGGGAGACCTTGAGCGAAAGGAAGTTGCATAAAAGCCTTCCAATTTACTCATAGATAGTTTGGACTATAATTAGTGAAAAGGAGAGGAACATTTACAAGTACACCATGTAAAAGCAATAACAGAAACAACTCAAAATGTTTATCAGAAGAGAGGGATATTTTTTATTAATTGTATGGTTGTTGCTCTCAGTTCAAAGTGACCATCAAATCTCTTATGTTAATATTTAAATATGGGTAGTTAGTAGCCATCTTGTGTTCACATTGATCTACACTTGTTTTTGTTGTTTTGTTTTTAGAAGGAAGAGGGTCAGGTAAGGAACTCTTTTACAGTATATTTTACATAGCTTTTGTTCATAACTTCCTTGGCTGATGTTTTGGATGGATGATTTATTATTTCCAGATTCGGGTATTCTTTGCTGTCCCTGAAAATATTGCAGCCAACATCGAGCTACCGGACTCGTTTTACAACCTCTCTGTTGAAGAGGTTAAAAGAGAAGCTATAATGAGGAAACAAAAGATTGCTGAATCTCAGCTTTTGGTTCCTAAATCATACAAGGAAAAACAGGCAAAAGCTGCTAGGAGGAAGTATACAAGAACAGTTATCAGAATTCAATTTCCGGATGGCGTGGTACTTCAAGGTGTTTTTTCTCCTCGGGAGCCAACAAGTGCTCTATATGAGGTTAGATACATGAACTTCAACACTGTTCTTCCATGGTAGCTAAGTGTTAGATACAAGGTTATAACTTGAACACTGTTCTTCCATGGCTCTTAGAATGTAAAATGAATGGTGTTGTGTGTTTCCATGGCAGTTTGTGAGTACAGCACTGAAGGAACCCAGTTTGGAATTTGAGTTGATACATCCCGTCGGTGTTAAGCGGCGTACGATCGCTCATTTTCCCACGGGAGAGAGAGGTAAAACGCTAGATGATGAGGAGTTAGTCCCTTCAGCTTTGGTCAAGTTTAGACCAATGGAAACAGATTCAGTTGTCTTCACAGGTTTGCGTAATGAACTCCTTGAGATCATTGAACCACTCGTAAGCGGCTCAGCTGTGGCTCCTCCTCCACAACTTTAAACCTACTTGGAACAGTGCCCCCCATTAATTTGCTTTTCTTTTGAACTTTTTAACTCTGTATACCCTTTTATGGGCAGTGGACGAAGCATTTCAGTCAATGATTAGTATGTTCGTTCCTACTAACGAGTCGGTCGAACCAAAATGAACATTTGAAGAATTAAAAACAAGATTAAGAAAGGTTTGAGAACCCTTTTTTACCATCAATGAAATGTTGTCGATATGGTTCATTATAACCAAGACATAGAACATTGAGGGAAAACATGTATTCTTTGCAATTTCTAACCATAAAAGGGTTACAAAATCTTCAAATAAAAGAATTGCATGCTTTCCTTGCTAGTAAATCCATGTATTGTAAACGATAAAAGCAAGGTACATAAAATGAATCAAAATCTGGGGGCATTGAGATTCCAAATTCCATGGAACCAAACCTCACTGTTAATGATACATCTGAGAGTGGTTTTAGTAATTGCCTTGAGCCTAAAAATATTCTTCATTACTCCAACAACATATGTGAGAGTAGCTTCTGAGGGAGTTGAGTAAATCACAAGTACCTGGCCTTGCACAATCCATCAGCCCAGTTTTGAATAGCCTTGACAACTTCTGTTAGCTTCTTCTGCAGCAGGTAAAACTTTATGAAAAGGATTAGTTCATCAATCAAACCAAAAAGTGATGTACTTACAAGATCATTGCGATTTGTAATCAAGGCTCTAATGCCATGAAAACTTCCATAAATGTATGTTATTTCCACTAATTCCAGTACTAATTCAATCTCAATCTATTTATACCCTAAACTCGGTCGGTAAAATAACCTCTTAATTTACACCTACTAACAAGCTTTGGCCGAAGGCCACTCGCACTAACCATATCAGATACAGACCAACTAATGAATACATTATAATCAACCAAACCAACACTTTAATTATTGAGAAAAAAGAAAAAAGAAAACTCCAGTTTAGCCTTCTGGTCAAGCTGGGTTTTGAACCAGCTTTGGATGCATTGCAGCATAGATAGAAGAACTAGTGTCAGGCTTCAAGTGGGAAAGGAGGTGTTGCACATCTGGACGCAGATTTTCCAAAGCTCTTCCTATAATGCCCAAAACTTCTTGTCGAGGCTTGCTATTAGCTACAACAGGCCCTCCCTGCCCCTCATAATGGACAACATGGTGCCTGATGAAAAATGACCATATGTATAAGAGTATCTTAGAGCATATAGAACAAAACATTTGAGTAAATTCTTTTCGTTGTCACTTACAGAAAGTCAATGAGGTCTGATATTTCTGCGGCTTCCACTGGTATTGATGTTTGTGTGTTCTTCCCAAATACATCCACCAATACGCTCAAAAGTGAGGAGAGAGTCTGAAGAACAATCGACCATGTATTTATACTAGTGGACAAAAGCAGCTAACAACCTTAAACAACCTTCTAACCAGCTAAGAATTTAACAACTATCAAACCAATTAGAACTAATTAACAGAAACAGCATAGGCTAAAAGGAAAGAGAACAGAAACAGAGGAGCTAACAGCTGATTTCCCCTCTTTTGCAATCAGTTTCGCTACCGTACCTGTTGCTCTAGCTAATTGTCCCTCCTTCCCAAGTGTGATTTCTATGTATGGTCGTGCCTAAGGGCATATCGGATTATGTACAGTACTCGACAGATTATGGCAGCCTATAAATAGCTTATATTTGAGACTTAAGTCTCTTAAATTTCATCTAATAAAGACTTAAAGGCTTAAAATCATATAGAATCTGTTCTTTCCAGTGGGTATAAAGAAAATTCAATAAAATATCTCGAAGTAACTTTATGCTAAACTGAAAACGTAAATTTCATTTTTGATAACTAATGTTCCTCAACATACCTTACAGAAAAGGCTATGAGCATTGGCAAGTTTGGGGAGCAGTGGACCCATAATACGGAAAACTATTCTCAGCATCGCTACTGATGTGACGGGTCTGAGATGTTTGATAATCACATGTGCCCCTTCTAGCCATTCCTGTGGGAGGTTACTAAATAAAGAGTGAAGCAGTGCAACCGTGTTACCTAAAATATGGCATCAATTTGTGAGCAGAAATGACGGTTTATGTTGTCAAATGGAATAAGGTTAATTAGTAAATAACATATAGCATACCAATAGCCGTTGAGGTATTGTCTTGTGCTGCCCATGTTGGATCCATCAACGAGTAACCAACAGCAGAGTTTAGCTCGCCTAAGGATCTTGTTGCATCAGACAGCCACCAAGTTTCTTTTATAATGCGTGATGCCTCTAGATACAACTGTACATGAAATTCTTGAGGAAGCTGCGCTAGTAGAAGACCACATGCCTGGATCATAAGGCTAGAAAGTTGTTGGCATGTATACCCACTTCGTGAAACAAAATTAGGAGTATTTATTCCAGATGCTGAGGTATTTGATCTTCCAGCATTTAAGGAGTCTGTGCTTCCTCCAGAAGGAGATGTCGGTAATGCTGATCCCTGACCCATACTGCTCGGAGCTCCATGAAAATTGTTGCTCGATTGAATTAGAGTAGGTTGTATGTTGACAACAATTTGAACCAACGATGACACAATCTGACCAGCTGAGACAGGGAGAGAAAGTAATTCTATGACTGCTGTTTCAAGAACAAGCTGAGTATATGTGCCAGGGTCCTGAATTTGATAAAATGCTTTTTGGCTCTCGGAAGCACTTGTTGCCCCCGGTGGCGTTGTCCCAGGGGCTTTGTTATGCGATGGACGCATTGAATTACTCGAAGTATCACTTGCCGTTCCAGGTTTTGATGTCTGTAAGGAAGGTATAACATTATTGACTATCCCCAACAAGAGGGTAGCAAAGTAATCCATTGGCGGGCACATGACAGGACCAGGGGAACTAATGTAATGTGGGAACGACTCAGAAAATGGAATCTGAAACAAATTTGGTGTCTGTAAGTAACAGGAATAACATATAAACAAACATATATTCATATATGTACATCACAAGTGAAAAAGGAACAGACAGAATGTTACCTTGCTGATATCAAGTACATACAAAATTCGAACAATGAGCTTGTTAGGTAGATGACCATAGAAGTATGCGAGTATATCACGAACAAATGTAAATCTAAGAGGGTGGTAGGCCAAAAAAGGAGAGTACATGGCCAATACTCTGTCAGCTTGATCTACAGCATCATTTTCAATGAGCCTATAAACTATCAATGGAATTACTGGAAGTAATCGAGCTGCAATATCGTCAAAAAATACAGGATACCTGTGACATCAAGACAGCTTTTCTAATTAAAATCCTTATAGTGCTCCCAGAAGAATAGGTGCAGAATTCTTCTGATAGATATAAAACAATGTAAGCGAACATATGAAGCGTTGAAGCTAAATTCAAAAGGACTTTATGAACGTAGTGAGCCGCACGCTAAGCAAAATTGCAACAAAACACAAGGAAAGAGCACGACCAAAGCAGGACACTCTGCAAGACAAATTAAAAAACAGAATTGGGAGCTGAAAGAAAAGTATTGGAAAAATGTCACATTCCATCCTCCCGAACTATCTCATCTGAGGAACGCTCCTATTCCTTTCTAGCCAACTAAACCACAAAATTGCCAAGCATCCGACCAGCCAAAGAACCCGACCCCTCCCACATGGATTCCATAACCACCTCTTCTAACGCCTCCTGGATGCTTGACCTCTGCTCAAAGGCTAAATTAAACTCTGGCCAAAAAACACCATCAAATACTAGTGTGATATAATTAAATTTACTATAACTCAATGTTTGAATGCTTTTTTAATGTCATTTCCCCCAAAATTAATATTTACTTACCCTTTTGGGTATTGAACAAATTTCCAAGCCCACAAGTGAAGGAAATGTTAAAGTAGTGATGTAAGTCCATTGTAACCCATGAGCTTAAGATTTTGAGTTCCGCGGTAATTTAATAATAACTAATAACCACAAAAAACTATTCAAATCCTCAGCATCACACCTGTGAAGGATATACTAGTTCGATCCTAGAACCGAAGAAGAGTGTTTCGACATAAATTTGGCAGTTGACCCTTTGCCTTCCTAAGAAGACTAACAACACAAAAGAACAATATTTTCTTACGGATTTTGAGTTCCAACAAGGATGAGCATGATTGGTGTGATCAATGAACTGGACGAAAATAGACACGAAGAAACAAGGATTTAAAAGAAAAAAAAAAAAAAAGACTTCTAACAAGTACTCCAGATACCATAACTGATGATCTGGATCACGGGAGACTTCCCATTTGGAATAAAGGAGAGTTCCCTTGGAATCCCATTTGGAATAATGCAGCTCCCATATGAAAGAAGCATCTTAACTTCTAAGACAATAACTTCAAAAGGATCTTAAGAAAACAAAGAGATATTGCAGCACGTCTAACCATGCCCTCGAAGCCAAATCATCAAATTCCTCCTATGCAACCTCCACTAACAATATCAAAACCAACTAATAAAGCAACTGAACCAATGAACTTGTCCATATTAGCTAAAGATAAGAACTGCTGCAAACAACAGAAGGACAACTTTCTTGTGACACAATCCAAACCGGACCAACTACAGCATCAGCACTAATCCCAAGGACTCCAACACCCAAGACCACTAATCTTCCAAGAATGACAACACTATTAATTTCGTGCACAATTTTTCTCTGATAATAGTGGGGGAATTTCATAAAGCTGCAAATCACATGCTTCTACAAAAGCTGAGAATTCGTCAGGTATTGAGGGTGGAGGAGGGAGAGGGTTTTCTAAGATCGGAATAGAGTCCAAATGTAGGTTAGAAGGAAAATGCTTCTTTTCAATCTCCTCTTTTTCATCTACTTGAAAGATACCAATATTGTTTGAAATCTTGAGGTTATCTTCCACAAAATGGTGAAGTTATTTGCAAAATAACCCTCTAGATATGCATCTTCTTCATGAGTAACATTCTCAATAGCATTTTGATTAATTGGATCCTCCAACGCCAAAATACTCGTTGGTTTTTTCTAGACCCTTCTTTATTGCCCTTCACTTTTTTCTTTTCCATTGTTTACCCTTGCACTTACGTATTCTTCAATTGTTCTCAATGAAAGCTAGTTTTTTTTTTTTTTTTTCTATAACAAGAAATTTCTCATTGATATGATAAA